TTAGTCATAGCAAAAGAATGGTTCTGAAGCAGTGGTCAACAGTTATGCAATTAAACGGTTAAGTCAAATGACAAAAGGGAAAACTAATAAGTGAAATAAAAGTGTTGTGTAGAGAGACATGTACACATATATCAAACATTTGTTGTAAGTGAATAAAACAAAATATTAGTTTAAGGTAATCATTAAAAATCATAACATGTAAGTTTAACGTTTAAAGTCTGACTCTATGTCGAGCCATAATCAATGAATAGGTTAAAATAAATAGGTACATAATTACAGTCCATAAGTAGTAATTAACAGTTACACATTAAATAGTTAAGTAAAAATAAAAGTGTTCTGTTGAGGTATTAGGTATACGTCATGATCCTCAACAAAAATAATAATCAAATGAACAAATGCCTAACTGTTTAGTTAGTTTAGGTTTGAGCACGTGTAAATCAAGGTAATAGAATTCAATGTGTACGTGATAGTAAAAAAACACTATTAGTTATTATGTATTGTATAGTTATAGTATGTATATTGGTATGTATGTAACTGACATAACATTCATTGACATAATGCTTCTAATGTCATACTTAAGAAGTAAACTAATCATGAACAATAATGATAGTAATAAAGTAAGTTGTAACTAAGAGTTAGCCAGTGTATTAAAGTAATAATTAAAACAAAAAGTAAAGTACATGTCTTTAATGTTGAGTAGTAAATTAATGGTACTGAAGCAGTAAAATTGTAATACATGTAATGCTATAGTTAACTCACAGAACACATTCTGTACGTTAAAGTAAAACAAAATATTAGTTTAAGGCAATCATACTTGAATATCTTTAAGCTTAATACATAAGATTAACATTTAAAATTTACGTTTAAACTTTAACTCTAATACCGTTCATAAGTAGTAATATATAATTAACAGTTACACATTAAATAGTTAGGATGGTTGAGGATAGTTATATACAATATATAATAAAAAACAATAAACAATGAGCAAATCAAAAGTAAAGGAACAAACGTATTTATGTAATAATGTAGTTAACTACAGTGTGTATGTGTATATTAGTATAATGTAGTCGTGCTTTAAATATCCTAACCTAACCCTAAAAAATATTTTTCTTACCAGTAGTATAAAATAGACAATTCAAACACACAATGGACCTGATCCCTGATCCCTGATCCTTGGTACCTGATGCTTGCCCCCTGATGCTTTGTCCCTGATCGTTGCCAAGCCGCTGAGCCCGCCGCCCGGTCACGTACGTGTGCTAGATATACCGTTGTGAGCAAAAGTCACGCAACCGATTTGTAAAAAATGACGCAAAACATAAAAGGTTGTTTAACTTTATTATATAAACAAAAACAAATATATAGAGCTTAATGTATACTATATTTTTAATTTATACATGTTTTAAGTTCAATATGACCACCGTCTTCATCAATACACACTAAACAACGCTTTCAGACCGTTTGGCAGATGCGTTCTAGAAGAGCTTTGTCGTCACTGATCACATCAAGTGCTTCCGTGATGACTGCTTTCAAAATTTCGATGGAACGTGGCCGACGGGTGAATACTCTGTCCTTCAGTATGCCCCATAAGGAAAAATCACAGGGTGTAAGGTCCGGCGACCGTGGTGGCCAGTCAACTATTCCGCGGCGTCCGATCCATCCCGGAAAGTTTTCATTGAGAAACGTTCGTACTTGGACTGAGAAATGCGCAGGTGCGCCATCCTGTTGCAATGTCATTTGATGACCGGCAAACACTGGACTTTCTGCAAGTTCAATTTTAAGATTTTGCAGCATGTCTAAGTGCGTCGTACCATTTAATTTTTCGTTTTCAAAAAAATACGGCCCAACGATCGTGTGGGCGCAAATTCCAGCCCAAATCATGATTCCCGGGACATTTAGTTCTTGTTGTACACAACAAATTCGGGTTTTCAAACGCCCAGTAAACGCAAATGTGTCGGTTTATACGCCCGTTTAGTTTAAAAATAGCTTCGTCGCTCCAAAGCACAGAACGAAAAAATCCTGGATCAGCTTCAGAACTTGATGTGATCAGTGACGACAAAGCTCTTCTAGAACACATCTGCCAAACGGTCCAAAAGAGTTGTTTAGCGTGTATAGATGAATACGGTAGTCATATTGAACATACAACATGTATAAATTAAGCTCTATATATTTGTTTTTGTTTATATTATAATAAAGTTAAACAACCTTTTATATTTTGCGTCATTTTTTACAAACCGGTTGCGTAACTTTTGCTCACCCCGGTATATTACCGTTATCACTTATCATGTTATCACTTATCGTGTTATCACTTATCATATTATCACTTATCAAATAATATATCCGCACAAGACGTGTTAAATTAAAATTATACGACGGGAAAAAAACTACAAAATAATTGATTCGGGGTTCGAACCCTCGACCCCCATCTAATAACGATCACGCTTTAATCCACTAGGCTACATGACCACTTATACTCTCAGCGTTATTTTCACTCAATTAACACAAATCACACGTGTGTGAGGATGGGTTTAACCATAATAATATCACATTTTACAAGAAATATACATTCATTATATATTTTTTTACACGAAATTTACAATCATAATATTATATAAAGTAAAAATATTCAATCTAAACATATTATACACAATAAGTTTATGTGGGATTAGAAAAAAAAAAAAAAAAAAAAATATTATATAAAACAAAATTAGTTTTTTCATAATTTACCCTCGTATTCGTCCATATGTCGATTCAATTCCTCGTCTTAAAAACAAAATATAAAATAATAATATTAGGTTTATTGTAAATAATAATATTATATATATAAAACAAAAGATAAATTATATTTAAAAAAAAAAAGTTTTTCTGTAATTTACCTTCGTTAGTATCCATATGTTGATTCAAAACTTCGTCATCGTTCCATACTGATTCAACTGCTAACATATGAAGATCCAGGATATCATTATAGCCATCCTCAGCCCAATCAGTTACATTTTGACTGGGTTGAGTGGTATTTAATATCCTCCCGAAAATTAGTACGTCAAATTCCGGGAGTACCTGGGGCCGTACTATAATTTTTAGCACACTTGGGGAGATGGGTGACAAAGATCGGTACCATTCATTTATCTGAGATTGTCGTCGCGATGAAGGTGAAAATACCACGCCGCCTACAACATCCAGCGGCAATATATCTGGTGAAGAGTGTATTGGTGAAAACGAACGAAGCCATTCGTCCATCTGTGTTTGTCGTAGCGGTGAAGGCGAAAATTCCATGTTTTCTATAAGGTTCAACGCGTATACCCCCGGTGTTGTAGGCATTGCAGGTCGTCTAACTTGAGATAATGTACTCTGCGACTGTTGTTCGGGAAAGAAACCACTATCTTGAGTCTAAATTAAAAATTATTGTTTATTTTATAATTTTATATTATATTGAGTCTAAGACATAATTTTTATTTAACACTTACCATATCTGAATATCTGATTGCTAATACTGACGAAAATCAGAGGAAAAAATAATAAAAGTACTATAACTTTATAAATTATAAGCCATTTTGATAACAGGTATTTTGTGATTGTCATCAATGATATTAGTAAATGATAACTGAAAACATATGAAAACTCGATAAACAAAATAAATCGATAATAGTCATTAATACTAGTAACAGTGATGACTGATGATTGTTGATTATTTTGGTATGATAAAGGAAAAAATTATTCATATTTCCAAAAACTAAATAAATTGTAGAAAATTAACGCCACGAACTTGAGAATACAAAATAGGAAATTTCCAGTTTTTTCGAAAATCAATAAATTCAGATATTGCACCTTGATCCCAATCATGACTGCAATAATACATTGCTCGTATCGGTATTATTTCTTCCATTTCTTCCAATGTAAAAGTATTTTCTTGATTATTGTACTTTATTTGTAATATTTTATTAAATTTATTGAATATTACACATGATTTGCGAAACGATTCCACTTTATTTTGCTCATGTTTGTAAATTTTATGCTTGACTTCATATGGACCAAATTCGTTTTTTACATTATTAGCATCTATCGTTTTTTTTATAGTTTCTGGCAAAGATAATTCATTAATTTGATTTTTATTTTCCATTACTATAATTTATTATAAAAAAATAAAATTTTTTAAACATCGAAAATTTAAATCGAATATAATACTTACGAAGTATTATATATAATATTATAGTACCTATACAGTGTGGTATAATAATAATAATAATAATAATAATAATAATAATATTGTATATATATCAACGTTGGACTGATTATTTTTTAACATCCGGTATTGAATATCTTATCATAATATATATGTATAGTTTATATTATGATGTTTTTTTATCGAATTATTTAAATAGTGTTTAAATAATCATTATACATGCCCAAGTGTTGTAGCTCAGTGGTTAAGGCGTTTGATTTAAATGTGTTCTTGGTCGGATTGAAACTAGTGGGGAATGTGTAGCGCTTTTTTTTCCATATTTCTATTAAAAATATTAAAAAATAACACGATCGTATATGTCCTATATTTCATTTAATATTTGATATTATCAAGTCGGAACAACACAGATATGTTTTATATGCTTATCTACACTACATATTAAAAGTTTACCCCCCGCTTCATATTTTTCATTTAAGTATAACTCCGTTGCTATTTATGTTAGAATCTTCATTTTTACATTAAACATTTTTGATTTTAATTCTTTATAAGTCCCCCTCATAGTATCATAGTGTAAAATCGTTTTTAAAGATTTTTGGATTTTAATAACGCGCCCACATGCGAAGACAACATATTTTAATATTTCCTAAATCTTGAACAACAAAAATATCATGGAGATATTCGGCAATAATACCAGTTGTATTTATTAAATCATTAGCTATTTTACAAATTTCAAGCCATGTTGGCGATTCTAGTACTTTAGAAACATAAGGTTTTCCTAGTTTTCGTTTTCTATGTATAGAAATATTGTTTCCAACAATTAAAATATTTCCTTCAATTGGAATTTTATGTAGATTATATTTAATATGCTCAGAATTTTCATAGTATTCAAAAGCACAAAATTTCACATACATTTTTTTTTTTTTTATACTTTTTTTTATTTCATTTTGCATTTCTTTTTCTTGTACCTTATTAAAATTATTTATAGATTCCATTCTTTTATTATAAATATCAATTCCTTTAACTAAGGTATTCAATTTCTTTAAAAATATTTTAATTATTATTGCATTTCGATTTTAATTATTAATATCATAAGTATTATGAAAAATATTTTGGGTGTATTTAATAAGTTTTGCGAAAAATGTTTTTATTATTATTGCATTTCGATTTTTATTTTTAATAATTAAGTTTTGCGGAAAATATTTTTATTATTATTGCATTTCATACGTTTTGCGAAAAATTTTTTTAATTATTATTGCATTTCATAAGTTTTGCGAAAAATTTTTTTAATTATTATTGCATTTCAATTTTCTGATCTTTTTGCACATTGTTTTCTTTGTGATCTTTTACTGATATATTATGAGGTGCGCCAGGAATGGTATATATATACTACTTACGTCACATATAATAGGTACTTTTCCTTGCACTCGGGACGGCACTATATATTATAAATTATAAACGATTAACAAAGGTATTGACATTTTGATTTCAATTTCAATTTAAATGAAAATACTTACATCTGCCGAACAAGATAGAGAACCGAAAACTTACAAGTTTATCTCGACGTTTATTGAAACTTGAGTAGGTGTAGGTACCTATAGTTACTAGTTAGCGTTGACAGACTAAACTACGAAACTATCAATTAAATATTGTCTCAAAATCACAAACTCAGAAACTGCTTCATATCGTATTTATTCATAAAGGATTTTAAAGAGATAAAAAAGATTTAATTTTAATGCTTACGATTAAAATTGTATAATGTATAGTAAATATTTTAATGATTCACGGAATGACAGTAGGTACGTCCAGTACGACACACGGAAAACACTAAACAGTCACACGCAGGATTACAGGAAAATGGCCCAGAGATGTCAATAAAGGGGTGTAACTTCTTCAATTGACTTTGCCTTGATAGTTGCTGATTTTTACTCAGCTGGTCTAGTTCGTTATGGAAGGCGCACCTTTGAGCGTGAAGTAGCCATGTTGTTTTTGCCTTAGATAACTCAACCACAGTTAATGGGCCCAATTTCATGATGTCACATCTATTTGAGGGGATACTTGCGTTTGAACAAAACCTTAATACCCATGCTGTAATGCGGATCAAACGCATAAAATCAGAAAATTGATCAAGCAAAACAGCGGCAAGAACCAGCTTAACTTGTCGGGTTTCAGGAACATCATCGGTCGATGGAGGCCACGCAGGCCAGCATTTCCTATCTTGGCTTAGCCATGCGGGGCCATTCCACCACAATTGGTTATGACTGAGTGACTGAACGTCAATACCTCGAGTAATCATGTCAGCAGGATTACTGATTGTAGGAACATGCATCCATTGACTAGGACTGGTGAGGTCAGTTATTTGTGCTACCCTATTGGCGACAAATACCTTTAGTGGTTTAGACGTGTTAATCCAAGACAGCACAATTGTTGAATCAGACCAGAGCATTATGCTTGAAGAATTAATAATAATATTCACCTTTGCTAATTCAAGTAAAACATTATGAGCAAGCTCAGCCAGTAGAAGCGCCCCGGACAGCTCAAGTCTTGGGATTGTGGTTGGTTTTGGTGGAGCGACTCTAGATTTTGATACAGCTAGTGACACTGTTATGCTGCCACTTGCAGCCACAGACCTTACATAAACACATGCCCCATAGGCCTCTTGAGAAGCATCCGCAAAACCATGCAGCTCAATTATCGGCGAGTCAATGTCGAGAACAATTCTAGGCACTCTTATGTGTTCAAGTTCCTTGAATTGATGATAGAACTGCTTCCAGCGTGACACAATATCAGTTGACAATGGGGAGTCCCATCCAAGCTTCAAGGTCCATAATTGTTGCAAGAATATTTTGCCCTTTATAAGGACAGGTGTTAATAGCCCAAGGGGGTCAAATATTTTACTTATATCTGACAGCAGCAACCGCTTGGACATTTCTACAGGAGGATCCCAGTTCTTAAATACAAATCGGAAACAATCAATGCTAGGTTGCCAGGTTAAACCTAGAGTGCTTATGGTATCTTCATCATTCAGTCTTAATAAGTAAGATGGATCGTCCTGAGTATGTGGAATTTTATTGAGTAGTAGTGGAGAATTTGAGCACCATTTCCGCAATGGCATGCCGGCTGCATTCAATACTCGACATAATTCAGTATACATGAAAAAACATTCATCAATAGATGAGGCTCCAGTAATTAAATCATCGACATAAAAGTCTTCAGTTATTGCACGGCTAACAGACGGAACACTGGTGTCGTTAGCTAGTTGAGAAAGACATTTTGTTGCTAAGAAAGATGCAGGCTTTGTTCCATATGTCACCGTGAGCAATCTATAGTCAACAACTGGATCTTCGGGAGAATCTCTGTACACAATGCGTTGTAGATTACAATCTGAAGAGGATACATTAACTTGTCTGTACATTTTTTCTACATCACCAGTAAGGACATACTTATGCACCCGAAACCGCAACAGTATTGAGAACAGTTCAGGCTGAGTAGCTGGCCCTCTTGACAATATATCATTAAGGGAAACACCGGACTTGCTGGGCGCTGACCCATCAAAAACTACGCTCACCTTAGTGGTGAGACTATTTGATTTTATGATTGCATGGTGAGGCAGATAGTAAGATTTCAATTCTGTTTCATTTTCTGGTACCACTTCCATGTGGCCGAGAGCTAGATACTCCGCCATAAACTTACGATATTCTGTGGCTAAATATGGGTCCTTGGCTAAGCGTTTACAGCCATACAACGAGAATCGCCAAGCTCATCAATAGGTTGACGAAGCGGTAATCGCACAACAAATCTACCATTCTCATCACGACAAACAGTTCTTAAGAAATGCCTTTCAACTTCAGCCTCCTCTTGTCGGAGTGTTTCAGATTTAGTGCTTAGTAAGGCTAACGCTGAATTGATATTGGGATGATGTGATGGTGATTCGTTATTGACATGAGCTGATGACAGAAAGGTCTTCCCAGCTAATACCCACCCTAAAGTAGTGCGACGCAGAATTGCACAATCTGACAACGGATATCGCTGTCCACTAAAAATGCTATAAGATACTTCAGCACCGAGCAACACATCTATTTGACCAGGAATGTTGAAGTGTGGATCAGCCAATTGAGTCTTAATTGAATCTGGGATTTCCAGTGAACTGACATCAAAATATTGACTAGGCATTTTATTTGATATACTAGACAGTACGTGAAATTGTAATTTAGTACAGTAACAACTATTGATCCGTGATGACAGCTTGGCATTGATGACAGCTTGGCATTGATGACAGAGTTAGCCTTGGAATGAGTCATGCCTATACCAGAAATAGGACATGCAGATGACTTGAGAGGCAATTGCAGACGTTCAGCACAGGCTGCAGTTATCAAGCTGATTTCAGCACCTGAGTCAATCACTGCTCTACATAACTGAGGCGTACCCTTTATGTCAGTAATACATACAACAGCAGTAGCTAGTATAATCCTATTGTTGGTTGAGTTGGGACCAATACTG